CAATGGAAAGGCTGACCAGCGGCAGCCTTGGCATAGATTCCCCGCGGGAAACCCAGGCGTTGTGAGGACGACGAGGCGGGGGTCGCTGACTCGGCAAGCCCGCAGTTCGTTCCCGCCAAAATCACTTGCCTCGGCGCCCCCGGGCGCCCCCCCCCCAGCGCGCCGGGTTCGGCCTGGATCAGTCAGCGCCAGTTTCGGCCAAAACCAGCGAAAAATAGGCTCCCGGGGGCGTGACTAGGCCGATTTTTAGGCATCGGCGCTAAAAAATCGCCTGGGGGGAGGGGGGCTGTTGGGGACGCGGCTGGAGATGCTCTTAGGCCTTGTATTGGTCTTGTATGACTTTGTTTTTGCTAGTTTGTGTGGTTCTGTTGGCTGTGTATATCTTAGTCACACAGAGGCCTAAAGTGAACTCATTTGGATTGTATTCCCTTGAAACTAATCTTTTGAGGTCTATGATAGCTATATTTGGATGAGTTTAAGATGAGAAACACTATTTGAATGTATGTGCAATGCCATGTACCTCTTTAACTTTATACAACGTCTGTAAGATGAAAATTGTATTTGTGCATTCATCACTAAAAAGTACGAGGATGTCAGCATATTCATTTAATAACTCTTTGCTTATATTTTTTTAATGCAAAAGTGCCGCTAAATTAATTCAGCTACTGGACACTAGAGTCCTCTCAATTGGGCTATTACCACACTCCAAAGATCTAGGCTGGGAAGGCTGGAAGAATGACGTAGCATAACACAATTCGGGTTGTACAACAATTTAGGAGCAGATGTATGCACACTAAAGCTAAAGTGTACACCAAAGCAACAACTTTAGAATTTTTTCATCATTATCTCTATCAAGCGTAGCACATTAGATTTTTCGCGGGAAAAAGCATAGCATGTTAGATAAGCTCAATTATGCATCGTTGGAAACCTTTTCCCTTTCTGGAAAGCCAATCATTAATTTTGTGTGGCATATCTGTGACCGGAGAGCTTGCATACACCAAGGCAGTCATGTCATCTTCTGCCTATATAAAGCACCCCATTACCAACCTTACAATTCAGGCCAAGAGTTCCAACCAACACAGAGAGCTCTCCTCTTAAGACCTCTCCCTTCTCTCCGCCAGGAGTCTAGGGTTAGAGAGAAAGAGTGAGCGAAGAGCAAAAACAACCTCTAGCCCCACTGTTGATTTAATTTGCCAGCAGGCTTGTTGTCAACTTCATATCTATCTCATTTACCTTCAATATCTTCGTATCACAATGGCTGGCCTATCCATGGAGCACCCTTGGGCATTCGCCTTCGGCCTACTAGGTATATTATTCTCAACACGAACAAAAGATGTCCTCGAATTACCCCTTGTATTATGATAGTTTCTTATTACAGCTGCTATTTGCTAGTGCAGTACTAGTAGGCTACTTTGTGTCATTTAAGATCAGCCTTTCGCAACATCTATCTATATATGTTATCTTTGCCACTGATTGAATAACTGATGTAGTCTAGTACTAGCACTAGTGACATCTAGCTCGGTGCACCAAGAGCCCATCAAGAAACAACAACAAAGCAAATTTGCCTATGTTTTTTTTTTGCAAACAATAAAGCGCATAAAAAGATGTAAATGTGTCCTGCAATTATCACAACTCGTTGCTAACTTCGCTAACTTTGTGCTGTGCAGGCAACATCATCTCTTTCACGAGCCTCCTGGCCCCGATGTAAGCAACTGTCTCTGTCATTTCTGGTTTTCATTTGATTGATCATGTCAATAAGTTCTCTCATAACTAATGTACACACAAACCTAAAATATTAGACCAACATTCTACCGGATCTTCAAGAGCAAATCCACGGAGGGGTTCCAGTCGGTGCCCTACGTCGTGGCCCTGTTCAGCGCGATGCTGTGGATCTTTTACGCGCTAGTGAAGACCGGTGAGGGCCTCCTCATCACCATCAACGCTGCCGGCTGCGTCATCGAGACCATCTACATCGTCATGTACCTCGTCTACGCCCCCAGGAAGGCCAAGATTTTCACAGCCAAGATCGTCCTCCTACTCAACATCGCCGGTTTTGGGCTCATCTTTCTCCTCACTGTCTTCGCCTTCCAAGGCGAGACCCGCGTCATCTCGCTTGGCTGGATCTGCGTCGGCTTCTCCGTCTGTGTCTTCGTCGCGCCGCTCAGCATCATCGTGAGCCCTCGACTGATAAACTTAGTTGTATATATTGTTGCTCATGGTGCGACCTTTGTATGTGTTAACTCACTATTTGTTCTGTCCATTCCAAAGGGTCGTGTCATCAAGACCAAGAGTGTGGAGTACATGCCCTTCTCCCTCTCCCTCACGCTCACCCTCAGCGCCATCGTCTGGTTCCTCTACGGCCTGCTCATCAAGGACAAATACGTCGCGGTAACTATACAACCCTTATATTGGTCGATACATATACGCATACAATTCTCAAGCATGAGCACTGACGATCAACTTTCTGTTTCCAGCTCCCAAACATCCTTGGCTTCACCTTCGGGATGATCCAGATGGTCCTCTACATGTTCTACATGAACGCGACGCCCGTGGTGACAAGCGATGTGAAGGAGGTGAAGGAGGCATGGAAGGTGCCTGCAGAGGACCAAGTCGTCGTGATCAACGTCGGCAAGGCCGACAAGAGCTCGTGCGCTGAGGTGCGCCCGGTCACTGAGATGGCTAGCGCCGTGGACGTCCCCAGGAGATGCGCTGCTGAGGCGGCGGCGCCGAGGCAGCAAGTGATGGCGGTGGACTTTGCCCGCTCTGTCGAGGTGGTCTAGATGCAGCCACGCATGGCTCATGCATGAGTCATGCAAGCTTTAATATTCGTACAACCTTTCTGGAGGGTATGCAGGGCTCTAGATTCCCGCATGCGGGGTATGCGATGCCTTTGTTCTGTTATATCAACGTGTTGATAATATGAGGCATAAACCATGTATCTGCAGTGTATAGTGCAGGTGCCAGTATTGTTGCCCATCTGAAGTTTCCTGAGAAATTTATTTTGTAAACTACAGGAGAATCTGTCTATGCCGAGTAGTCGGCTGTTTGCCAAGTGTTGTTTCATGGGGTGCTCGGCTTACAGGCCAGTATGTCGAGCACCGTCACAAAACACTACGCATATATACGGTACTCGGCATACAACCCATGAACCAATATGTCGAGCATCTTAAAATACACTCGACACACACTTGATATTAGGCAAACACAAAAAGAAAAGAAACACTGGGCACGCATACACAAGTTGCTGGGCAAATGTTTCACCTCGTGTCTTCTTCGGTTGTTGTTGACGGATCTGCTACTGTGGGTGTAGTATGCTCAGTGCCTCTTGTGAGGTACTCGACAAACATTATACGCTAAATGTATGCCGAGTACCCAAAAAAGCACTTGACATTTTTCTAATCTATATCCTCTATTATTTGTTCTTTTTATTGTCCGTTTCTTTCTTCTATTTTCTATATTTCTTCTTTTCACAGCCTTTACTTTCTACTCCACTATATTATTTTCTTTGTTCTTTTCATTGTACGCATTCTTTCTTCTGTTTTCCTTTTATTTTATTTTTTCTAAATTTTTCTTTCTTTCTTCCATTTCCCTTTCTTTCATATTTTCATTGTATTTCCTTTTCTTCATTTGTTAGTTTATATGTTTATTATTAATATTGAAAACGGACCAAATTACATGAAATCATGGCGACAAAGCGTTGGGTTTATCAAGCAGGTGCTGGTCTCGTTCCTCTCACGGCCTTGAAACTTTTTCTGCACTCAACTGACACATGCCAGACACTGGCCCTTTCCCGGGGTCGTCTACTTTATCCGGGTCATTTATTGCATTTCTAAGGTTTTAACGCTAGAAATTCTAGATCTGCTGCGATGACATGAAGACATCACCAGAAATGGATTGAAAATTCCTATTTGCAGTCTTTGTCCCATGCCCAGGCCATGTGCAACCAAAGAGAGGGAGGCCAGGGCCCAGGGGGCTCATGGCTAGGCCGTCAACATGCGGACTGCTATGGTTTCAATCCACGAAAATTCATACGAAGTCAAAAATTCATGGGACCTGGCAGGATGTTGTTATATGCCCCTGGAGGCTGTGGTAAAAATTTGAGAGCTTTACGCGTAAGTCTTCTCAGAGATTGCACATAGACTAGACCATCTCCCAGGAAAGATCTAGGTTTCCAGAGGGAACGGATCATGTTTTATGCGAACTGGTCACCAATTCATTTGTTGGCCTTCATAATTTTTTTACACTCAACATACAAAACTACATATTTCATGTTAAAATTTGGCATTTTTAGAGCTTGTCTGCCATACTTAATACATTAAATGAATTCCTAGGCATTTAATGTATATAATTCAAATTTTAACTGCAGGTACATGAATTCATAATTGTCAGAAATGGGTTGAAAAATATTATAACTGGTCTTTAGTCTATGCTTATTAGCCCTTATACCATTAAATAACTGGAGTGAGAAACACCAGGGCCGAGACTTGGGCATCAACATGGAGCTTGGTACTTATTAATTATGTGAATTTTGAACGAAGCAAGAAAACATGAAACTTGCCATGGTTTCATGATATCACCCCTAGAGGATGTGGTGAAAATTTCAGAATCTTTTGCAGAAGTCATCACATAGACTGCTTAGAGACCAAATCATCTCTGAGGAAGAATCTAGATTTTGAGGACGAACGTGTTAGGTTTGCATGCGCAACGACGGCTTCTTCATCTGTTGGCCTTGAAATTGTCTCTACACCCAGTATAGAACATTACAAATTACATGTCAAAATTTGGCATTTTTTCAGGGCCATTTACTATATTGAAGTCACCAAGTGCATCTCTAGGCATTTAAACTTTTGAAAATATTAAGTCAATATAAAATTTATGGAAACTCCTACATAATAAATTATTCGTTGTATATTAAATATAAAAAATGTATTGAGGTATACAAAATAATAAATGTATTGTGTGTACACGTATTGATTTTGGGAAGTCATAGAAATACAGTTTGCTAAGTGTAACACTTGGCAAAGCAGTTCTTGCATTTTGACTGGTCAATGCCAGACTCCCGCAGATCGTGCCTCATGGTCATAAATCTAGATCCATCATTCAACGATGCGTATCCATTCTCCCCTCTCACTTCTCTCTTACCGTCCTCTTCTCTCTCTCTC